GGTACTGTAGATTACAACACATTAGAATTCATGAGGCTTTTGTAGTCAGATATTTCTGCAAGCAGAAGTCACAGCCCAATGTTCTAATACGGCATGTTGGCAAAAAATGAGGCCTTGTATGTGACCTCCAAGCATTTTTTAACCCATCAATGATGGTTTGCTTCCTTGCCAGGGTCCATGTCAGATCCGTGGGACATACCAGGCCTGGCACATTTCTTGGAGCACATGCTTTTCCTCGGCACGAAAAAGGCGAGTCTGAAAAATTTTTAAAAGTCTTGCTTTGAACTTCCTTCATGGAAATCAACATAAAGTAGGTTGCTTGAGGACATAAGAAGACACTGAGTGCTTGGCTGAATTCCAAGCTTTGAACAGATCGCAGGACTTTACTATCAAATAAAAGCTGAGTGTGACACTGTATTGAATGTAGTGATGTAGTCTGAGCTACAAAGTCCATCAAAAATTCACCTATAAAATGGCCTTATTTATTTCTCTGTTTCTGTGTTACAGTACCCATCAGAAAATGCCTACTCCCAGGTGAGTGATTTACATACGTCGTGAATGACTTTGGTGACTATAGTTACCAGTTGAAATGTGCAGATTTCTTATTTCATTCCCAGTATGCCTGTAGTTTAGTGCAGCATTTGTAGTGTTTTATTCTGTTTTGTTTTTATCTTAGTTTCTGAACCAGCATGGAGGTTTTGCCAATGCCTACACAAGCCTGGAACACACCAACTTCTACTTTGATGTGTCACATGAACACCTCGCTGGAGCTCTTGATAGGTAAAATGGTTTGCTTTGGTCCGTTTTTGTTTTTGTCTTTTTGAAGTTTCATATTTACCCTACACAATACACATTTATTTGAGAAACCGGTACAAAGACGCCAAAACAAGCTCACCCCAAGAGAATAATGAGTTAATTTCTTGGGGAGGGTGGAATGCATATTTGATTTCAAGGCAGAAAATTCAAACAATCATCTAAAAAAGTGCCTAATAAAAAAAAACCTGTATCAACAATGAAAAAATGATGGGGGGAAGAAGGCAGAAAATTAGAGGAGACTTTCAAATTTTATGGGAAAGATATTAGCAGATGACCACAAGAATGCCAGGAAACTGACTTTAATTACTGAACAAAATCTCCAGAAAACTTAGGAGGCAGTGGCTTGTCAGGGCCCAGTGTCACAGACCTGATAAATAATGAGCAGAAAATATTGCTAAGCTAATTCTTGTCCTTTTCTGCTAAACTAATTCTTGTCCCAAGTTACAGCGGAGAACCAGTCACAAGAAATACACATTATGTGACACTTTGGTAACCTAGTTTTGTGAAGCTAACAGTTTTCTGTTCTAAGCAAACGTCTGCATTTAACAACTCTGTGAGATCATTTGGGGCAGAAAAGGGGGACCCTTCACCCCTTGCCTTACAGAGAACTACATGTACACTTTCCCCTTACGCTGTCCTTTACACCCCTCCTGCTCAGGTTTGCCCAGTTCTTCCTTTCCCCACTCTTCAACCAAGACTCCCAGGAGCGAGAAGTCAACGCCGTGGACTCGGAGAACGAGAAGAATCTGAAGGCAGACCAGTGGCGGCTCTACCAGCTGGAGAAGTCGACCGTCGACCCCGAGCACCCCTACTGCAAATTCAACACCGGTCAGTAGGAAACAAACTTCATAACAAAAAGCAGACACATTTGACTCGTCACAGGGGCTGTAACAATTAACCAGACACTGATGAAGATGTAAAATACCTGGTTCTGTTTTCTACTCTTTTTTTTAACCCCAAATCCTCTCTAAGAATTCTGAAACAAACACCCTGTCTGAAACCAAAGCACAACCTGGCATTTGCTGATAGAAATGCAAAGGAAACAGTGTTACATCCAAGAATACTTTCGAAACAATGGTATTGCCCCCGACGTTTGGAACAGAACTTTGCCACTGCTGCTGAGTCGGGTTGACTCTGTCAAGCCAAAGGGCGTTGCCATTCCAAATTCTCTTTGCCAAGCCAAATGGATCTTGAAGTTTGCAAGTGCATTCTGAACTTTAAAAAAAAAATTCATTGTTTCCGGGGCATATTTGATAATGTCGTCAATCAAATAGCCCGTGAACTTTCCCCTTCACAACCCTGTGAAATTTTGACCCTTGTTCTCTGGAATTTTTTGGGGGGGCACGGCAGGGAGCAAGGAGACACTCCAGGCCATCCCATCTCAGAAAGGCATCGATGTCCGACAGGAGCTACTGAAGTTCCACGATACCTTCTACTCTTCCAACATCATGGGACTGGCCGTTCTGGGCAGAGGTCAGAAAAAGATTTTGAGAAAGTCTCTAATGCTATGCTAGTTTCAAATGAGACAGTTTCATTCAAGTCAAGATGCATCAGAACAAAGAGCTTGATCTGCTGAAACAAAGGTACTGAATAAATGGCCTGATGGTTCATTTTGTGGAATCTGGTCACATTTTTGTTGGAGGAAAGGACTTTTGAACAAACCCAAGACCTGTCATACTGTTTCTTGGCCATTGCAGAATCTTTGGATGAGCTCTCAGACATGGTGGTCCCACTGTTTGCCGAGGTGGAGAACAAGAATGTCATCACCCCGGAATGGCTACAGCATCCCTTCACCCAGGACCATCTCGAGGTGAGGCTGTGTCCCAGTTGTTACAGCCGCAGCTGCATATGAAACATGCCCTAAGTGTTTGAATTCTCTGGCTGTACAGTCATGAGTAATACACAAGTCTGTGGAAGTTGGTTGCACCTACTGGCTAGTGGCTTCTTTAGGTGTATGTGTTATTTGCAGTCACAGCGACAGAATTTAGACACGGACTAGAAGTCTTTCTTTGAGACATTGAAGCTGTACTCCGAGTATTGCATGCCCAAACACAAAAAGATTTTGTTCCTTGGTTGCAGAAATGTTTAAAGTGCAAGCTTGTTCTCTGGTCAGCTTGCCTGTTCTGTTGGAAGTGTCACTCAAATTAGACTTCTTCTTGATGTTTTTTCTCTTGCAGATGAAGTGCAATGTAGTTCCAGTGAAGGACATTCGGCAGCTCAACGTCAGTTTCCCGATACCTGACCTCAGGAAACACTACAAATCCAAGGTACCTCCCATTTTTCTTCAGACCATTCACAATTTGTGGTGGTTGTCTAAATTTTCTGCCAAGTCGTAAACCACACGAGTCACATCTGAATTATATGACTCAGATACAACTACGACTAGAATTGTTGAAGTTTCAATCGTACAGAAGTGAAGTGATTAATGCCATCTCTCCTAGAGCATTGTGTCAAATAAGAACTTAGACCATAAAGTTACATGATGATACGTTTATGCTGCATGCTAATGTCCAGTATTGGTTAAAACAGTGCTAAGATATGCAACACATTTCAATGCTAATCCACCCAGACCTTCCAAAATCCGTGACATTTTGTAGGATTGAGGAAAAAAGGGACCAACTATTATTACTTTACGTGGGGCTTGATACCCTCTCGACAGTTAAAGTACAAACAAGGGACAGTGTTGGAGGATTAGGGAGGTTCCTTGCTCTGGAGTGTGGTGCCACTACATGTGTGACATACCATTCAGATTAGTCCATACAACAAGCCTGTCTTTTTAATCATTGTTTATGTAGCCAGCCCACTACCTAGGCCACCTTGTTGGGCACGAAGGGGAGGGCAGTCTGCTGTCGGAGTTGAAGGCCAAGGGCTGGGTCAACACGCTGTGCGGTGGGGCCAAGGAAGGTGCCAAGGGTTTCATGTTCTTCATCATCAATGTAGACCTCAGCGAAGAGGGAATCGGTACATTGACAGATTTTTTTTTCTGCTTTCTCTTTGCCCTGTCCTGTTGGTCACAAG